TATTCTATAAAAATCGCCCATAATAATACACTACCCTTATAACCCTAATAACCCTAATAACGTTAATAAAATCGTTCGCTTGATTGCATGATCACGTGACTTAACCGGCCCTCTTTTGTTGACCAAGTAACCGAAGCCTTAATCACCCACCAGCCAAATCTAACACGCCTCTTTCGTAAGGTTACTTACCGCAGGTTACGCGAGTTTTTGGATCGAGGAGCGACCGAGTCGCAGTTATCCCGACCATAACAACAGACGGAACAGTAAACAAGACAAGTAAAATGAGAATAAATTCATGCATGTATAACAAGTTTAAACGCATGTTAATAAATGGTAAATTTTTATTTTTTTTAAATTTTATCATATAATAATAGTCTAGAACAATCCTTTGATCAAGCAACGTCCAATTTTCATTTTTTTTTATTCGTTATTGCATTATTGAAAAGCATTTAAACTCATGCATGTGTCAACAAAAAGCTTCATACCGTATTTGCGCGTAATAACGTGCAGGAATGTAATTTCGGGTTTCAGCCTACATTAAGCCTTCTTCGGGAAATAACACCGCCACTAGTATTCGGTGTGAGTGTACAAATATAGAAATCTCCTGATGAAGTCAAGAGGATGAATCATCCAATAAAAAAGATAAATTTCGTGTAACGGTAACATTACTGATCATATTTATTATCTATGAATGAATTTAAGCTTCGTACATATGATTCTGTGTACAGATCACACAACAAGAATAAGAATTATCTCAAATGACACAGCGTTCCTAATCGGACAAATTCAAACTGACTAAGTTTTGAAATTCGTATAAATACCCTCAAGGGGTATCATATCAGCCGATTTTTTTGACCCCAAAATTGACCAATGATCGATGATTATCAAAAAAAGATTTACACGAAATTTTATTAAAAATGGCCTTTTTAACCAGCTTGGCATTTATAATCAACTATGTAAAAAATTACAAAATTCATGTATTTTAATTATATGTCAAAGTTAAAAAGGCCGTTTTTTTGGAAAAATTTTCCAATTTCACTTTTTATTTATTATAGTTACCAATTCATCATAAAATGCTCGAGTATTTTACAAACAGAAAAAGTGCTTCTTAGCATTGCTGGTTTATTGATTTATTCGTTTTTTTATCTAGTCTAGTTGCTAAAGAAGCTCTTTTCTTAGCTGTGACTAGTTTTTCGTTTGGTACTTTTTTTCAACGTCACTTAGGAGCAAATTTTTGCGTAACAGTTTGTCAAAAACAAGCTCCCAAAACCGGATCAGCCGATATATAACGTTCAGGATATTTTCATTCATTGCAAGCACAAATTACAATGAGTAAATGGGAATTCAAAAATGGTATGCTTTTATACACAAAAATTTTGATCACATGTAAATTTTCGCAATGTTAAAATAGCCATCACACACTAGATTACAGACGTAATTAATGATAAATTTCATAAATTTCAATCTTTATCAGTACAATAATTATTTTTTTATAAATAAGCACGCATTTCCATATATTTATTTCAACAAAATTCGTAAATGGATCGTCGACACCTTAATTTAGTTAGAACTTTAAAAACCATTGCATTCCATTGGATTCTTATTAGTTTCATTCTTTTATTATTACATAATTTTACTGTTTATGGTCTGCAAAAATCACAATATTCGAGTAACAGAAATGAGCTGTTAGAACATTGCCACATCCCAACTTATGATGATACATTTTTAATTAAAGAAAAAGAGCCTTTTACAACTGAAGTAGTCGATTATTCAATTCATATAAATATAATTGATAATAACTTGTTATCTACCTTACAAATATTTTTGAAATCTGAAAAGTTGTATGACGTGAATCCAAAGGTAATGATAACAAAAGAATTTATGTGTAAATTATATTCAATCTTGAATTTATTTATTAAAAATTTTGTTTATCCAGATATCCGCTCATGAATTATTCAAGATCCTTCCGCAATTAAAAAATCATGTTAAACAATATCCTTATCAACTTCATTCTCCTTTAAAAAAACTAGTCGATTGGTTGGAAAAAGGATTTGATTCGACATTAATACAAATGAATAAAATGATTGATAAGGTTAATATTTTTGCAAATACTTATGCATTTAATTGAAAACTTAACTAAATTTTCCAATTAGATATATAATTATTTTATTAATTAATTCTTTTACTTGTTTTCTTAGCATGAAATCTCATTTAAAAATTTGTGGTATTTGTTTCCAAGCGGTAAGCACTTATTATTTATTTTTAGATAATATTTTATTATATCAAAGCTATTCATGTTTCTTTTATTATTCAGGATCTCAAGTATATGCAAAATTAAATGGAAAACTATTTGGTTCTCGAGTTACAAAATGGGAATATAAGTCTTATTCTGGTACACAATACTTTGTTATTACTGGTGAATTTATTAATTCAGGTATATAATTTTTTTATAACTGTATGTTAATGTTTATATAATATCTAAATGATTATAACTTATATATATAAATAAAATTTTGTTTATTAGATGGTCATGAATTTGTGTATATTGATAAAACTTGGCATATTGAACAATTTGACGGTGTATTAAATATTACTAAACTTCCAGTAGTTCCTTTACAAAAAAAATGTGAAATACGTGATGAATTAGTAAAACGTGGTAAAAAATTCGAACTGTTTGCCATTGGTCCTCATTATCTTAGATATTCTGGAAATTTTTTTTACAAATCTTGGTTTATATCCACTTATTCCAGAGGTGATGGACGTATAATGATTGATGCTTCAACTTTTAATAAAATCAACCCAAATTATGATATGGGTCTTGCAAAACACAATTTTGAAAATCTTCAATATAATTATAATTACAATACTCGACCTAAACCATTTTTAAAAAGAAAAATTAAAGAGGAAGAACTTTACATGTGTTCTCCTACATTTTTTGGTTTCAGTTTTACTGCTAAAATATGGGGTCAATTTTATGTTGATCAAGTGGATGGTAAGCTTCTTTAAATTTACAATACTTATTTTTGAAAGCATCACAGCTAATAAGAAAAAAATCATTTTTTTTTAAAGAAATTAAATTTGATGACGATGCGTTTGATAATTTAATAATGGATACTAATAAGAAAGACATTATTACGAGTTTGATAAAATCCGAACTTTCTGGAGGATTGGATTTCATTAGTGGTAAAGGTGGTGGTTGTATTTTCTTATTACATGGACCTCCTGGAGGTATATTTTTATTTTTTCTACTACAACTTTTTAAAATTTATTACACTATTAAAAGTTTAATTTAATGAATTATTTTAGTCGGTAAAACATTAACTGCTGAAGCTATTTCTGAATATCTGCATCGCCCGTTATATGCAGTCAGTGTTGGCGAATTAGGCGTAACTCCTAAAGAATTAGAAAAGAAATTAAGTGAAATTCTTGAAGTTGCAAGTGCTTGGAATGCTATCATTCTCATTGACGAAGGTTTGTGTGGCGTTACTCTGTCGGTATTAAAATGGAAACTTAAATATTAAAATTTAAATGTTTTACTTCATAGTTGATATTTTCTTGGAACAAAGAAGTAAAAATGATGTGAACCGTAATGCTTTGGTGGGAATATTCCTAAGATTATTAGAATATCATAAAGGAATTCTCTTTCTTACAACCAATCGTGGTATGTAAATAATGATGATTATTTTTGTCTAAGTGAGAATCACTGGATCATTATTTACAGTATTTTTATTCAATTATATAGTTGAAAGTTTTGATAAGGCTTTTTATTCCGTGAGCTCCCTTCATTTTATACAATTTAATTGTTATCTTAATTTTATTTAATTTTATATAATATTAATGCACAATATCTATTCAGAGGATTAGTTTAATCTTAAAATATGACGACCTTAACGAATCAGCACGTGCCCAAATTTGGCGTGCTTTCTTGGATCGTGCCGATGGTAAAGATAATAGTCAAGTTGATGTTGATAAATTAAAACAACTACAATTGAATGGTAGGGAAATCAAATCTGCCATTCGACTAGCAAAGGTATTGTAATTACATTATTAATATTCTATCATTTGCTAAAATTTGCCGAGTCATATGCAAATTTTATATCACTATCGGGATGACAATTATTTTCTATCTGAATTTAATTAAATGGTGATTGAAAATGATAACTCAAATCATATTCCCTAGCTGATCATTTATTTCGCGATAAGGTTATCAAAGCCAATTTCTATCTGGAATTTTTTATTTTTTTTTAAACACCCTCAAGATGAAAACGCAGCTTTTCTTAACTTTTTAACTTAGTTCCCTTTAATGTAGTTTCCTCTTAATATGTTACTCTCTTAACGCTTAATGTGTTATAAAAAATCATTATCCAGGATGTTTAATATTTTGATTTTATGAACATCCGACACTTATGAATATCAAACATTTCTTTCCCAGGCTCTCGCTACAGTATCAGATCCTGGTGCCATTATCACTATGCAGCATTTAGAAAAAATCTTGAATATTTTCGCAGAGAATCTTGAATAAATGCCCTGGACGATTAACTCATGAAGATTTTAGTGTATGAGCCATGTTTATCTTCAATAGTTTTTAAATATTGAAAATTTGAAATAAATTTTTCTAACAAAATTTTTCTAACAAAGTATCAAAAATTTCCAATATAACAGGTATTTGAGATATTATAAGCTTTATATATATATAAATATACCTATGTTGAATTGTATAGTGCATGTAAATGCGTTTTATTAAAACGGTTGGTACATGGGTAATACTTTTAAAATAATGCATTATATATTGTAAATGTGAACGGTATTGATGAGGATTTCTTATTTAAATTAGTATTTTGGAGTGCTTATTTTATGTAGCCTTATACCCAAACCCTAATAAATATATATATATTTAAATGGCCATCGAATAATATTTTGAAAGTAAAATTGTTCGCATATCAAAAAACCTTAAAGTACTATTTTTCATACGATTTTCATTGAACAATTTTGCTCCGAATGCAAGATCTTATTTAAAATCGCATGAATTATGAAATTAAACTTAACCTAGCGCTAATAATAGATACTATTTGCATATTTGCATACATTAAATTTATTTAAATTAATGAATATTCATTTTATTCCATTCATTTATAGAATTGCTAATTTATTTAGTTGTGAATATTTATTATTGTACAGCTTTATTTGTTTAATGGATAATAATATTTAAGTATTAAGATATTTGAAATTAGTAAACAAGTTTATAATTATTTATTTTTATTTTATTTTTTCATTTTAAAACCTTGAGATAGCATATTTGGGGATGTTTCATGATGTAATTTATTATTGCTCTACAAAAATAAATAATATAAAATAATCTATTACTTAGCCTTAACTATTTACAATCCCAAGAATTTTAATACGCTCTTTCTCTTGTTACTTGCTAGTCACAGGTTGAATCAATGAATATCGGGTACATACGGCAAGGCTCCTGATATGTAACCGATAGTCTACGGTAGATCCTCTAAATACCTTCTTGGCAGCATATTGGTAAGATATGAGGAGGTAAATCGATGTCAGTAACATAATAGTATAATATTAAAATACACTGAAATCTTCTCTTAGCACTCTGGGCCTAAGAGTAAGATATCAGGAATTTGAATTAAACTTATTACTAGTAAAATCTATAAGTAAAAATAAAAAGAAATTTGGTAAAGACTATATTGTTAAATAAAGCCTTATTATCACAAACAATAAAATTAAAGAAATGGCCAAATACAGTAATTAAAAATATATTTATTTATAGCCTAGAAAAGACTCAAAGGCAAAATTGTAAGTGATCTGAAAATTGTTTTAGAACTCTAAAGATCTAGAAGCCATAAATATCAAGTATAATAAATATATAGTCATAGCTGCAGTATAACAGATTTTTTTAAAAAAATTAACAATTTCTAAATTAACACAATATCAAAGTTTGACAAATAGTAAAAAGAATAATCACTACTATACAGAAACTTAAATCTCTTAATGCACAGTAACTGCATGGTAACTATTTAGTTACAATTAAGTTTAAAAGTAATTATGTAACTTCTACATCGTTACTATGCAGTTACTGTGATATTTAGGTTTCTGTAAAGTAGTTATAGTTTCATTCGAAATAAGTGCTAAACTTGAAAAAAAGTTATTTTAAAGAATAATTTACAGAGCTCTACCTGTGAGATATAAATTAGCACACATATTATAAACAAAATCTAATAAATACCCATAATGTCTGAAACAAATACAAACAATTAAACTCATAATTTTAGAATGCAGAATTAGTAAAAGGCTATAAGAAATAGCATATAATTTATTGAATTTTCTTTAGAAACAAGACCCCAACAACTATAAAGGAGGTAGTTAGAGCTAATAAAGTATAAAAAAAAAGATAGCACAAGTTCGTAATCTGATTTTAGTTTATAAAATTTGGATCTTATAACAAATATAAAGTGAAAAAAATGCTATTTTTTAGAACCAACTATTGAGACAATTTTGAAAATAAAAATTTTAAAAGAAATTCATTTGTTTGAGAGAATATAAATGAGTAAAGGAGAAAAAAATTATTTCAAATAATTTGTAAATCCAATTAAAAATATATTTACTATATAATATATTCTATATGATATTGTTTTACTAATAAAGTTATAATATTCTCTGATAATAATGTCAAAAGGTTAAAAAAAAGGCAATTTCTATTTGTACACGGGTGTTTGTACACGAGGTATATAAAATACCAACAGATATCTTGAATTTTTGATTATTAAACCACCTTTTGGCTTCTAATGAAAAAAACTCTCCGCGAAATTTTGGTATAAACTAACCCTCGCCCCAATCCCAAACCCACCCTTACCCTAACTATAAACGAGGGTTTAACTTTTCGTTTATAAAAATTATTTGATTGGCATGTTACACGATTTTTAAATCAAAAATCAAGTAAATTAATAAATTTTCTAAAAAAAATAACAAACAATATTAAAATTACAGTACATGCCCAATAAAATTATGAGATGATGATCGACAAAATAAAGGTTTGCTATGCCGAAGGAACCCCTATTAATGGAGAAAAGACTTTGGAATATAACTAACCAACTAAAAATAAGTTATTTAGGATATTACAACGTTGGCTATTGTTATTAATCTAACATTGGAACTTAACAGAAGCTTTTGAAATCTGCAGAAGGTATAGTTTGTAGAATCTTGGTTGTTGTTATTGTGATGGAATAGGCGCTCATGCTATAAAAAGCTAGCTTTTGAAAGGTGTAGCGTTTGAAATTTGCAGAAGGAAAAAATTGTAAAGGACAAAATTACCTGGTTGCTGTTATTAATAGAGTGACGGGACGTGAAAACCTGTAAATCATTTCATTCAATATCATCGCAGTGATATCTACCCTATAAGAAATTGGGTACATATCATTACGATGATAATGAGTGAAATGATTTACAGGTTTTCTCGTCCCGTCACTCATATGGAAAAGAAACCTCCATAGATGAAAGAAAACTTTTGAATAGTATTTAATCTGCAGAAGGAGGAGATAGTGGGAGCAAAATCATCTTAGTTATTGTTATCGCTTTAGTGCAGAAAACTTTATAGATGAAATGAAGGCTTTTGAATGGTATTTGAGATCAACAGAAGGTGGATATAGATTAGGACAAAATGATCTTGACCATTGTTATCAGCACGGCATAAGAACTTCAAATGAATGAAAAGAAGCTTCTGAATAGTATTTAAAATCAGTAGGAAAAACGGTGTTGAAAAAAAAAACTTTTTAAATGTTGTTAAAAAAAAAAAAAAAATTTATAGGAACTTCTTTAGACTATGAAAAGGCTCAAGTATGGTTGAATAAATAAGAAATATAAATTTTAATTGTACAAAATTGAATATTCAGACCAACGAAATAGAAATCTTATTATGGTGTTATTACAGCTGGTACATTCCGATCAGAATAATTAAATTTCACTTTTGGAGCTACGTCACGCTTTTTTGCAAACAATGTACGTTGATTAACAGAAAAAATTTAATAATATCGATATACCAAATTCAGAAATAAAGTTATTTAACTGTTTGCTTAAATCCTCGATTTAAATATTTAAACAAGACGTTGAAGTATTTTATTGTAACATATATAATTACTAGGAAAACCGAAACCATTAAAGTCCGAAGGACAAAATACACTCGAATCGGTTTGTTTTTTTTACGTTGCACCTGATCTAGCCAATCAACATTCAGAATTTGTACATCAGGTACTCTATTGTTCCGTTTCGGACAATTATTAAGTTATTATTTTGATCATGCTGTAGTATAATAGCCTCTCTATATGAGTGCTGCTAATTCAAAGCCTGGAATCAGACATTTAAATTTAACTGTATTGGACTTATCCTCTATAAAATGAAAAAAGTTAACATTAATTCATATGTACAAGAGTTGTTCTTACTGCTTCGGAAACAAAGTACATGTAAAGTAGCGTTAAGTTAACCAACTTTTTAAAAAAAATCTTTTTTGTGCTACTCTTTTTTCTGTTATGATGTACAGTACATTGAAGGCAAGGGTAAAGAAAAGAAATACAATTTATTTACGTATGTTACGTATCAAAGTTCATTTCATTATTTTTCACAAACATTTATTGTCATAGTTATGCTAATAAAGAAATTGAAGAAAAGTTTCTACCACGTGAAATAGTATGATAATACAAATTAGAAAAATACCTAAATTATGATAGAGTTCCTTTGAAAGGCTTCAATATTTTACAATACTATTATGTTAATTAAATTACCATTCGAATATAACATTTAATGTTTTGGGTTAAAAAAGACGTAAAAAATAACATGTACTATGAAAAAGATAATGACTGATGATATAGTTATTCAATTATGTAATATCGTTTTTCCAAGTTAAATCAAATATATTATAATTTTAAACTTTTACTTACAGGTTTAAACTTGACGACACTATAAACCGCATAACGTAAATTGTAATACCGGGAAAGAAATTGACAAAGTGTATGATTATACGACAATTGAAACGGCATTTATTCACAAAATCTTGCACCTATTTAAATAATATATATCGAATAGGAATCTAAATGCATATCTATTACCTTCACATGTTACAACTTTACTGGGTTTGCGCAATACGTACGTACTGTACGTAAAATTTGAGTGATGCCAAACTAAAAGGTATTCAGTAAAATACTGTATATTTTGCTTAAAGTATTAATCTTAAAAAAAATTTGAAACAAAATAATAGTATTACTTATTCTAAATCATGAACTAACGAAGGGCTTTTGGATGTAAGCATTTTATCTGGAGCATAAAGCACCAACTACTTTGCTAGTCTTTTAGATAAATTAAACAATGTTAATACAGGCTAAAAAAAACTTGATATTGTAGAGAATTATATTTAAAAATAAAGTTCGTCTTTTATTTATTTAATTTGAAGAAAAATAAAATAATGAATATTTGTATAACTAGATTTGTATTTAATAAAATAAGGTGATGATATTTATA